CGTACTTAGCTTCCCTGTGTCTTAGTTTCTTTGCCTTTAAATGGAAACACTGCTAGTATCTATAACATAAGGTTGTTGTAAACATCTAAACGAGATGCTGCCAGACATTTAACAGAAATTTGGTAAATGCTGACTAGCATAACATCATGCTTTGTATTTGTGCCTTAGTTGACATTTCCCAAAGTTGAGAAGGGAGGCTGGAGAGATGGCTTGCTAGTTAAGAGCTTTGCTGCTGCTGCTCTAGAGGGCCTGAGTTCAGATCCTAGTACCCACATTGGGTGGCTGTATGGACACACACACACTCCAATCAATCATCAATCTTACAAACTAGAAAGAAATTTCACTGACTATGGAAAGGAGGCTATGGTGAGCTTTGTGGTTAGTACATTAGGGACATGTATTCTATTTGCTCTTCATATAAAAAATAAATTCAACTTGGGACTGTTCTTAGACTTGCAGGGGGAAGCAGAAGCCCTTATAAGGTATTCTTCAGCTGTCCTCTACCACTGCACTTCATGTGGTCAGAGAGGTGTACATCTGTCAGCAATCATTCAAAAGCTTACTTAAGGGATATAGTCTTCTTGGCTCTGAGACCTGATTCATAGCAGTTTCTCTACTTCGAAATACCTTTGTCTATATAACCTCCCACATCAAGTACCAGAATCACTTCCAATTTTTTCTTAATAACATTATTTAATGCTTCATAATTAAAAGTATGCAAAATGTTGAGTGTTTCACTACTTTGTTTTGTTTTAATCTGAAGGCTGCAGATGGAACTTAGTACTAGAGCATTTACCTAGCATGTATGAGACCCTTGATTAGGTCATCAAAACCATAAAATACAAAATCTTCCATGTATAACCCAAAATTTAGTATTAAAAATACACAAAATATGCCATGATATGAGTGGGTTTTCTCCATTATATAATTTTATTGAATTGCTCACCCCCTAAGAGAAATGATATTACAAACATTTTTTGGTTTAATAGCATGATTGTTAGTGTACAAAGACCATTTATCGGGGCTCCAGGTTTCTTTCAATAATAGTTTTTAATATATCCTGTCACAAATTTAATGAAGTAAATAATCTGTGTTCTGTTGAAAGCAAAGTACATAAGACACATGTTTTACAGATCTTAGTGTCCCATTGTCTATTCAATTCTGAGATTGTAAGCATTTCCCATTGTGAAACCCCTGGCTGGCTTCAGATATATTTATTTAGAAATATAAGGAACCCAGAATAGCAAGGACAATCTTGAAAAAGACAAATTGAAAGACTCACATATCTTAATTTCATAACTTCCTACAATGCTACAGTAATGCAAACTATGAAGTAATAGAATTATTAAGCCCAAAGAAAACCCTCATATTCTGGGCCAGTTGGTTTTGGCAAGGGTACAAAGACCATTTTCAGGGGAAAGGATTTCCACAAAGAGACCAGCACAACTGCATATTGACATGCCGAGGATGGAAGGAGATGTTTTTAAATAATTTCAAAACCTTCTTGACCCTAGACTTGGAAGTAGTTTCTCAGATAATACACCAAAAGAAGCAACAGGAAAGTTGGACTTCCTTAAAATTTAGAGTTTGTTGTGCTTCAAAGGATTTCACCAAGAGAGTTTTAAAAAAGAAAAGCCATATGTGGTGACCCATAATCCCAGAACTTGGGAGGCAGAGGCAGAAGGATCTCTGTGAGTTCCAGGTCATCCTGGTCTACATCGTGAGTTCCAGGCTAGCCAGGGCTACACAGTGAGATCCTGTCTCAACAACAAAAACAGGATGGAAGAAATGTTTGCATGAGAGAATTATATGTAGAATATACAAAGAACTCTTAATGGATAGATGAATTGAAATTTTAAAAAGGGCAAAGGGTCTGAATAGACATTTCTCCAAAGATATGCAAATGGTCACTTGAAAAGATGCTCAATACCATTGGTTATTAGGGAAATGCAAATCAAAATCACAATGGAATGCCACCTCATGCATCCTAGAATGGAGCTAATGGAAGACAGGAAGCATTTCTGAAGATGTGGAGAGATTGGAACCTTCATACATTACTAGTGGAAACAAAATGATGCAGCCACCTGGGAAAGTAGTTCTTCATAAGCATGGAGTCACCAAGTGACCCAACAATTCCCAGTGTATGTTTACTGAAGATAAAACATGTCCACACAAAAATTTACACATAAATGTACATATAGCAGCATTATGCATAACAGCCCCAAAGTGGAAACCACCCAGATGAATGGATAGATAATAATTGAATATCCCTACATGGAATGATAGTAGCAAAAAGGGAAGAAGTACTTCTCCAACACATGGATTTTACAAACATGATGTACAAGAAACCAGTCACATTCCATAAATATAGGATTCCATTTATGTGGGAAAATGCCCAGAATAGGGAAAATCTACATTCAGGTAGCAAATGAATTACAAGTAACCTAAGGCTGGGGTGGATGATGGCTCATGGCAGAGGATTCTCTCTGGGGTGACAAGAATAGTCTAAAGTTACTTGTAATGACTGCACAAGTCTGAATATACTGTCATTGAATTATACACCTCAAGTGGATAAGGGCTGTTTATGTAAACTTAATAAAACTACTATCAAACAAATTTATGATATGAACTGTTATTTGATGAGTCTTTATCCATGCCTCACACCCTTTTCCCTGATCAGTACTCTTAAGTTATTGCCATTTTCTCTCTAACAGTTACTCAGTGTGATGAAAAAAGTAGTTCAGTTTTCCAAATAAGAGTCTGCATTCAGGAATTTCATCCAAAATGGATTTGTACATATGTTGTAACACTAGGAATGTCATTGTGCAATGCCACCCCCTCCACACACACACATACCTGTGGAACTCCAAAATATTAGGTAGGAAATTGGAGAAGTTGCTCCATTCACTGAGAAGAATGTGACATGCAAGGTCATTTGATTGATTGACTGATTGATCAGTTTGTAGCCTTGGCTGGCCTGGAGCTTGCTCTGTAGAACTGACCTTGAACTCACAGAGATCCACATGTCTGTGTCTCCCAAGTGCTGGGATTAAAGATGTAAGCCACCAAGTCCAGCCATCCCAGGCCATGTTAGTGGGAGTCCATGAAATCCCTTTAATATCTAGAAATGAAAGGTTATCACAGAGAAAAGAGCAGCTAACCAAGGCTACACTGTGTGTGTGAGGCCAGGCCCTTGTCTTTGGAGGGTCCTTATGCTCTGGATTGGCAGCTTCTCCCCACATGCCTCTCCCAGAGAAGGGCCTCAAACACAGCATGAGATACAGGTGGGAAATGAGACCCAAACCAGTAGTTATTCTCTCAGGTTCCAAAGCTCCCTGTTAAATGAGCTACTCCAGCCAAAGAATGACGAGCCAAGCCCATTCCTACCCAAAGAGGTTTCAAATACCATGTGGGAGCAAGCATGTTTGAGTGGGCCAGACAGAGGCTGGAGGGGAGAAGCATCTCACAGAGAAGCTGTAGGCTCTTCTGCTCGTGTGTGTGTGTGTGTGTGTGTGTGTGTGTGTGTGTGTGTGTGTGTGTGTGTGTGTGTGTGTGCACGCGCGCGTGCGTGCGGGCGTGCGTGCGCGCGAGCATTTGGGACAGAGGTTCACATCTGGTATCTCAATTGTTCCTCACTTTTATTTTTTGAGACAGGGTCTGTTAGTGAACCTGGAGCTTATTTATTGATTAGGCTAGACTGACTGGCCAGCAAGCTCTAGGAATCATTCCATCTCTATCTGCCTCCTAGTCCTAAAATTTACAGGTATGGCCCGCTATGTCTAGTTTTTTTTTCCCTAGAGACAGGGTCTCACTGTGTAGCCTTGACTGGCTTGGAACTGCTATGTAGACCAGGCTGGCCTTGAACTCACAGAGATCTGCCTGCCTCTGCCTTTCCAAATGCTGAGATTAAAGGCATGCTCCACCATACTGTCCATGCCTAGCTTTTTACATGGATTCTAGGAATATAAACTCAAGTCCTTATGCTAGTACAGCAAGCACTTTACTGACTGAGCCATCACCACACAGTCCTCTATGACCATGCTCTGACCCCTTCCCACAAAGCATGGTCTCCTCTCAGTAGCCAGAGATATGTCTTGCCTCAGCTGTTTCAAAGTGTGTTCAATTTCTTGTTGTAGCCATAGGTAAAGAAGGTGTGATATAGTCTAGTCATTTGGGCTTCCTCTATGTAAAGGAAACCTCACTACCCACACACATGCAGCCTGTTCCTTGTATTCATTTCCTGGTAACCATAGATTGACAGCTAGCTGAATGGGTTGTAGAATGGAGCTATATGTAAAAGGAACTCCAGCCAGCCCTAAACCCCTCAGGCCTGTGGCTAAAAGCCCAAACCCCTTCCAGGCAAAAACCAATTCCAAGAGGCAGAGCCTTGGCTGGCTGGCTGGCTGGTTAGTTGGGTTGGTTGGTTGGTTGGTCAGTTGCTGTTTACAGACTCCTGGGCTATGCTACAGGCTCCCCTCTGCTTTATTCATGCCTTCATACTTGTTTCCAGGCCTCTCTCGTCAATATTTAATGAAAGTTTTAAGGACAAGCCTTCAGCATTTATGTGAGGCTTTGCAAAATCATATTCTCCTGTTCTGAATGAGGTACGAGCCAAAGAGAATTTTCAAATGATCAGAGCTGCTTTGTGTTCCCCTGGGTCTGCACCTTTGACAGTGTCACTGAGAGAAAAAGAAAAAGAGGGAACAAGAGCAGAAATTATCCCTGCTATTTAGGTTTATGTAAGAAAATTGCTTTGAGAGATAATTTCTTTGTTCTTATTTTCTTTGGCCACGTTGTGGAAATGCTCATTTTTTTTTCTCTTTCTTCCATTGAAATTGGAAACTATATCTTTTTAAAAAATGAAATATTCTCTATCCAGATCTACATTTTAAAGTGCTTATAAGATATAGCCCTCCCTGTTCACCACAGTGGTATGCCAGGTGCTCTCCCAACCCCCACCAAGCTCTTCCCATTGTGGAAGGACTGAGCTGAAATGGGCATCAGGCACACTTGCTGGCACACTCAAGTAGCTCCATCCGGATGGCAATTCGGACATGCCAGCCTAGAGGGATCAGTCGGATGAAGCGGGAAATGATGGGGGGGCGCAGTAAATTCTGGACTGTAGAACTCCGGTCCGAGTTTCCATAGAAGACCTAAACAGAGGGAGCAAATCTGATCATATATTAGCCACACACAAGTGTGTGTGTGTGTGTGTGTGTGTGTGTGTGTGTGTGTGTTGCCATGGCCTTGTATGTGCAAGCAAGTTTCTACCACAGTACCACCTGCCCAGCCCATATTAGCTACATTTAAAGTGGTCAGCAGCTATATATGACCAGTAGATGATGGCCAGTGTAGATATGAATATTTCTGTCATCACAGATAGACCAATTGTATGGTTGCTAGAATATGTCTCTTGACTCTTCACCAATTTTCCATTTTAATCCTTTGCACTTTGACAAAAAAAAAGGTTCGAAAGGATCCGTCCAACACAAGAGAGATGTTCACATGTTCCAAAGATATCCAGATGCACTCAAGTCAAACCTGTGCCTGGCTCTGAAGTTGGAAGGCAAAGCTTAATGTGTTTCTACTCTATTCCAAGTGACAAGTGCCTTTTAGGCTTGGAAAAATATATTTTTACAAACAGACAAAAACTAGAGGAAAATCTCTGGAAAGGAGAAGGTGGTGTTGATATAAAGAGATAAAAGGCTTGCTTAATGTTTTTCAGGAAGCAACATAAAATGTTTCGGGTACTTAACACTATTTCTGAATTCTTCATCCTCTTTCCAGGGTCACAGTGTTCTGCTCCATGACATAAGAGCATTTCATCTCCTCCTGTAACTTTCTCCTAAAAATATTTAACTGCTGCACTTAGCTTTATCCAGCCTCAAAATAGGCGGGCCTTGTTTGTGATGATCTTGCCTTTCTTCCTAGCAACAAGGCCTGAGCTGCCTTCTCTTGAAGTGGTTTGTCCTTGAGCATAGTCAAGTCAGAAGGAGGTGAAGAGGAGTTGATGGACTAGGACCTGAGACTTTGTGAATGGAGTGGAGTGCCATCTTCGGAGCACCAGCAAGGCCTCCAGAAGCACAAGGCTTAAAAAGGAATTTTAATGTCTTTTGGAAAATACCACTAACTGGTAAGGCCAGAAAATGAAATTTGGAGGTGCTGGAGATGTAGCCCAATTGGCAGTGTGCTTGACTACCAAACACAAAATTCTGGGTTCTGATCCCCATTACCTCATAAACTGTCCATGATGGCTAGAGGCAGGAGGAGCAGAAGTTTAAGATTATCCCCAGCCACATAGCAAATTGGAGACCAGTGTGGGATACATGAAACCCTATCTCAAAAAAATAAGCATCAAAATGGTTTTTCCCATTATGTCAAACTCCTCAAAACTTCAGCCTGTGACTGACTGACTATGCAAATTGTTACCATGAACTATAAGACATTCTAATTATTAGTCATACATATCTACCTAATCTGATTAAATGTCTAAAGTAATCTGAGGAGAACTAGAAGTGGTGGTATGTACCTATAATCCCAGCATCCAGGAGAGTGAGGCTAAAGGATCAGGACCAGCCTGGGCTACACATTGAGAGGGAAGGAGAGAGTTAGGAAATAGCCTGAAGAGCTCCTTGCTGTTGGGCAAAAAAAAATGGGTTAACAATTCCAAACAGCTAGTAAGTTTTAAATTCATTTTTACTGATTGTAAAGACAGCCAGGTGCTTAATGTGTTTAGTTCACAATGAAGATCTAGAGCTCAGTCTGCAAGGATTAATAGGTTAAGTGTGTCTGGACTGATGCCATCTTTTAAGTAGCCATTTAGGCTATTAATATTAGTTCATCTTAATGTTAGCCATTACTAGCATTTTCAAACTTTTTTAGTATTTCTTTTACTATTATGTGTATGCATATGTGTCTCTGTGTGGCTATGTGCAAGGGAATGCAGATGTCTTTGGAAGCCAGAAGCATCTGATCCCCTGGAACGTTATGATCTGGGTGCTGGGAACTGGACTCTGCTAAGCCATCTCTCTAGCCTCAAAGAGGCTAACGTTCTGGGTGTCCTTTGCAGCTGTCAGTCTCAGTCAATAGTAAGAAGAGGCCATGACTATACAAATGAGTGATAACAGGTAAGTCAGGCCCATGAAGACCCACAGTCAATGATCCAGTGAGTTTGGAACAGACCAAATAGCCAGGGTAGTGTTTTCAAGTGACTATAGGCTGACACTGAGAACTAGAAAAATAGCTCTTTTGCACAAAGGAGCAGCATCTATTTACAAACTGCTAGTCACCCAGGCTATATCTGGGAAAGAGAGCAGATCACACAGTGGAGATGGACACAGATGACCCAACACGCAGAGAGGTCAGTGCTCTGACACAGACATGGGCAGCAGGAGCATAAGGCTGGGACAAATCTCAAGGGGTGTGAGCTGAAGATGACTTGGAGTGAGTCCCACTTACCCGATTGTTTCCAGTCTGATCCTTATAGTAAATCCAGTTCAGGCGTTCATCAGTCCTATATTGCACACTGTACTTTGTCATCCACTCATCTATATCACAGCGTCCTTGGGTAAGGATCCCCGAAATCACCTTGATCTCCTTCAAATCTATCTGTAGCCACTGGCTACTATCCTGATACTTGGAAAGCCAAGCACACCTGCCAAGAACACACCAAATTACCAGGATCCATCCTCTATAAATGTCTGGAAAAAGCTAGCAGGTACCAGATTTTGAGGGGCTACTAGGACTAAGAGAATCATCCCAACTCTGGGAACCCTCATGTCTTTTCCTTAGGAAAGATTTCCCTGGCATGTTCAATAGATGAGGTCTTTCTTTCCTTCTTCATCCCCCCCCAATAGTATTCATCCCTTGAGCTGAATAATCAGGTGTTCGGGGATGTGCTAATGATCTGTCTCCCCTCTTCTCTGTGTGCCTCCAATGCCAAGGAACTCACCCATCCTGCCACCACTGTACTCACAGTCCTTGGCACAGCAAGGCACTCGGTCAAGGTTTATTGAATAAGTGCTCTCTGTGCCATCCATTATAAGACAGACCTAATTTTTCAAAGCACATCTTTAAACAAAAATGACTCCACCTAGGCTGACTGCCCTACTTACCCGAAGCCTTGGCTGTTGAGCCGGGCCTTGTTTGCTGTCCATGAGGAATACCAGCCCACATACTGCTCTGGGTTGGAGCAGGTGATCTGATCTGGCGTGACCTCCCCTGACTCGAAACCCAAGGGCTTGTGATATGGGCATTCTGAGGAGGAAAAACAACACACACTCAAACACCCAAATCTCTAGCCAGAGTGGTGGCATGTGTATGTGTGGAGTCCCTGCTTCTCTGGGCTGCCCTGAGAAAGTATTGAAATCTCATCTCAAAGAAGGAATGAACTCCCTATCCCAGAACTCCAACAAGAAATGGCTTAAAGAACAAAGCAGAAACATTGACAGTTTGCAAGTGGAAGACACTTCATTTCTCAGCATAGTACTGGATGCAGAGAGCTGGACCTGCCCCTATTAAGTGCTCACATGGGATAATGTTGAGCTGAAGTAAAGGGATTGCCATAGAGACATTCTCTCACCATCCAGAAAAGCATGGGGAGCTGGTTCTATGGCAACCTCATTGGGGGTGTGTGAGAAATGCATCACCTCCCTCATCAACTTAGAGACCTAAATGCCAAGAGGTGCTCAGTGAAATAGCACATTGAAATGCCAGGCGTCCAGCTTTAGTTCCCTCATTATCACAGGTTGAACTGTGCCGCATAAGAACATTAGGGTCTCTAATTGTTCTTGAGCAGCAGATGAAGCCAATTATAGGAAGAAAACAATGGTGAGCAACAAAAATGGCAATTACATACAGAGACTGACTTCTTGTAAATTGTCATTTTCTCACTGTCTGAAGAAAAATAAAGGATGACTATGAATAGGCAACAGCTGGAAGGGACTACTTTCTTCCGAATGGGAACAGCCAAAGTGGTCCTTATAGCCCAGTTGCCTGCTGATCCCTTCCCTTTTTACGTAAGTCCTCACATTAAAACCAGCATTGGGTTCCTTGCCAATTGACAACAGAGCATCTGTTCTCAGCAACATCTCTTGCCTTCTAAATAAATAAATAAATAAATAAATAAATAAATAAATAAATAAATAGTGAAACACATCCACAAATTTTAACATCTTTCCCAGAGTTTCTCAAAGTTAGAAGTGACTACATGACATAACTTCTGACTGGGGAAATGTAAGAGAATATAAGAGTTGTCTGGTCAAGTTTTCTCTTTGTCCCCTACAAAAGGTAGTCATGATAGCTGGTGCAACTGCAGGTCACTTGCATTCTGGGGGGACCTGCAGGATCCCTAGCCTGACTATCCTTATTTAACTCTCTAACCCCTAGTCCTTTTACTGCATGTCAGTGCAAAAGTAATTCGATAAGCCACTTACGTAGGCAATCTCTTACTTGAATCCTAATCCAGTTCCTAACTGAAATCCTATAGAAAACAAAAGATAACCTTGTATACATGTATTCACCCCCACTTACCTCATTTCCTACTCAAGAATGATGAATTCCAAATAAGGGAAATGAAATTATGCTCTCCATGTATAAATCTAAGTTCAAGCTAAAGATGTATATTTGCTGGAACATTAACTAACAGGGAATGTTTGAGTCTCCTTTGGGGATGAACTTCCCAAATGCAGTAAAACAGACTGGGGCTGTAGATCAGTGGTAGCATGCACAAGGCTCCATCTCCAACACACATACACACACAGACACACACACACACACACACACACACACACAACCTTCAGAAATGGCCCTGCCCTGAGATACCATAGACAGAATAGCAGCAGGCTTCAGGCTAGGATAGCTTAGCTTCCTTTCTACCTGTATGTGCATCTCAGTGGGGCCAGGGCTGAGGGGACAGCATTTGTAGTTTATCAAGTACTCAAGGCCTTGGAGTCTATTAAAATCATGCCAGTTTTCAGGAGAGAGGATCGGTGCTTTTATGAGGCACTCAATCACCACCTGGTGTGGCCAAATCATTAGGGGAGCTTATTAGGAATGCGGTGTCTAGGACTCCACTCCCAGAGTGGAGTATTTTTAACAAGCATATTTTCAAAGTGCATTTAAAAAGCTTTGGCTTGCCAAGGAAGGCATTTTGTGGGCTGGTGGACTGAGAGAGCCAAACACCCAGCCCCCAACACCCTTCCAGCCTCCAAGACAGGGTCAAGGTACCAAAAGGTGGGGGAAGATCCCAATGGCAGAAAACAGGGTTTTATTGGGCCTTCACCTGTCAATCTGTTTTAGTTTGGTTTGGGGAGGACAAGATCTTATGTAGCCCAGGCTGGCCTCAAACTCACTATGAACACTTGCTATGTAGTTAAGTCTGGCCTTGATCTTTCTTCCTTCACCTCAAAAATGCTGAAATTATAGGTGTACACCCACCTGCCTCCTCCGGTTCTTTAGTTTGTCAGGTTTTTTTTCTTTGTTAACTATGAAGGAAAACATGCCAAGCACATTACCAAATGAGCAGCATTTCCAGCCTTTCTCTGTCAAATTCTAACCAGATATCTCCCGTCAGCTCTGCTTTGAACATCTAATGACCACATTCCTTTGCTTTTTCACCCTTTCTCTTCAGGGCCATGTACTAG